TTTAATAATTATTATGCGTTAACTGTAGAATAACGGTATTTATTAGCTTCTGGTTATCACTTCAGTGGGAACAATATACTATGAATCTTTTATCGATTTTATAATAATAATAACTAGTTATATATATAGTTCTATTTTTTTTTTCTTGAGGAATACCAAGTTCCTTTTCTTGGCAATAATCAGAGATTCACGTTTCGTATCGATATTACAGCACGGTTAAGCCTATTATTTTAACAAAGCATTCATTATATCTTGTTCATCACTCTAGCAGTGTTGAGTTTGTCCAACGTGACTTAAGGTTTTCTACCATCTGACGTTGCTGCTTGACTGTTAAAAATAAAAAAATGGACATGGAAAAGTAGATATGTAGAGAATATAAGAGTAATCAGTTGATGTTATTTACTACACGCTTCTGTTGTTTGGATTTTGGATTGACAATAGTTGGTCTTTTGTCTTCACATGTGTTAATGGTATCTGTGTGAAATGAAAGAAATATTTGAAGGTGTATGGATTGTTGAGTTCTCTACTCTTATATAGCTTTAGATGTCATTAAGTAATATTATATGATAATTAATTATTACAACAACTGTTCGTGTTATGTTCAATGTAATTGGATTATTGCTAATTAATATGACTTTTGATATTTTTTAGTAAGTGTTTGCATGTTATTGGTTATGGTTATTTTGATTTAAATGTTTTATTGTTATTGGATGAGTTTAAAATTTTCAGATTTATATTAAATGTTAAATGATAATACATTTTATAAAAATCATTTTTCGTTATTATGTTTGATATTTTTGTTTAATTGAATGTGAAGGGGTAAAGATATATTAATATTAATAATAATTAATTAAATGTGAAGGGGTACAAATATATTAATATTAATTAATAATAATAATTAATACGCATGAATGAATGTTGAATATTAATGAATTAATAAAGTGTATTATTGAATTTCATGAATGTGAAAAGATATGTTGTATCTTTATCAAATTAAAAGAGGAATGTGAAAGATCTTAAATTAAAAGAGGAATGTGAAAGATTTGTATTGAATACATTAATTTAATGTATGCGAATAATTTCTATTATAGTAATCTCTTAATATTCATGGAAATCAATAACATATACGTGAAATATTAGTAATTTATCAAATTAAAAGAGAATGTGAAAGATCTCAAATTAAAAGAGGAATGTGAAAGATTTGTATTGAATACATTAATTGAATGCATGTGAATAATCCCTATTATAGCAAGCCCAATAAACAGCAAACACGTGAACCAATTAACGACATCCTGCATAACGATCATTTATCAATTCTACGTGGCGTCAGAAGAAGCAGTCTGCTTCAACATTATATTAATATATAGATTATAAAAAGCCTTTTATTACAAACTCTCCGATAACGGGTACTTAATATTTTTCAATGATAACATATGCACTTCATAATAAGTGCTCTTACATGAAGGAATGTGTACAACCCATACAAACTCGAAAATTTGACCCGGACCAAATCGATCTAAGCAGGTTGGTTCGGTTTTGCAAGAGTGTTCATATATATTACACAGGTACAAAAAGGAGAAATCAATTTTTTTGTGGTTCGATTCAACATACATAAAACAAAACCGATCCCAAACCCAAACACCCGATAATTTGGGTTACAAGGTAAATGAATAAATCGTAAAATTTTTGCCAAATTAATTGATATGGGTTTTATATAATTAGTAGCCAATCAAGGGTCTTCAATGAGAGCTAACAATGAGGTTGCTCTTCTTGCAATCAAAACCTCCTCTTAAGACAAAATTTCTGAAGTATATTACTATCATCTATCATCTAACAATAAAATAAAAAAATTTAGATCAAATTTCTAAAATATATTTGCATCGTTTAGTAATATATTCTTATTTTTATTCTCATTAATGCAGTGTAATATTATATAACTTAACGTTTAGTGTAAACTTTGTATCATGTTAGGTAGAATAATAAACACTTTGATATACCGTATGATATTGTTTAGTACCATTTAACATTTATTATATCATATAACACTAACATGACTTAACATAATAGGGTGTTGGGTTGGATAATCTGAATGGCACTTGTATTTATAGTATCTGCCTTTCCTTTTGTTTGCCCTTGGAAAGGGCAAATGATTGCCTTAGAGAGAGCAGGTGACTCCTCTTGTATAGTTTTTTTGTTTAGGCCTCTTTTTGTATAGGATTGGGATGGTTTCGTCTAGGATTGTACAAGATGTCTTTTAGCTAAATAGAGAGTTCCCCTCCTAGGTTATATTTTTTATTCTTTTCAATACAATTACCGGATTTATCAGAAAAAGAAAAAAAAAATCTAGTCTCTCTACAATAAGCTCTCTCTTGTCTCTACACTTTTTCTCTCAAGACTAATCTCTTGACTTGGCTAAAACAGAAAGCAACAAAACCATTGTATACTTATAAACAAGGACAAAAACAGTTTACCCATTGATCTGTGAATGAAATTGCAAATTCTCAGGATAGGTAAGCCCAAATAGTAAATCAGTTCCGCATATTAAAGAAATAACTGAATCAGAAAACAAATGTTGTGAAGTGCTTTTAAACATCACAAATGAAGAAAGAGGAGAAATTTATAACCAAAATTAAATGAGTTCCTCCTAACACCTATTATTTCCTTCTTCCAGAAGACAAAATGCTGCACTAAACAATGACTATTTGTTGAAATTTGAAGCTATAAATAGAATATTACATGCCTTAGTGTAAAAGAGAAAAACAGCACCTAAACATTATCAGAAAATTGATGTAAGGAAAGTGGGTTTATCACCTTTAAGAATTAAGATATACGTACGGCCATAGGTAGATATTTCCAAGTCTGTCAACTTTTTCCACCATGATACCTCAATCTGCAAATTTTTGCACAGAGAATTTGATGCCTGGTTTCAATAAGCTGGAAGAGAACTAATGTCTTCACATAGGAATCTTATGGTCAAGAAAAAGAATACAAGAACCAAGAAAACATTAACAATAGATGACATACCTTAAACTTCTTAATGCACAATAATTCAACCTTGATTCTTTTGCAAATTCAGGACATCTTAAACTTGGCTCACTGCATCAAAATGAACATATCAAAACCAAGTTTAATTAGCTAGAGAGAACGTCTTTTTCAATGTCCCCACTAAGTAGACAGATAACCAAGAAAACAAACCTATCTAAATGAGTTATCAAATGATGTCATAGAGGGCATCCACTGTAATTTGAGAAGCTCCCTGATAAAATAGCAACCAACAGTAAGAGAAACAGTTCTGAATAAAAATTAAAGGACTTACAGAACCAGTAATAAAGCTTTGATGTACTTTCTAGTTTAAACATGAAGAAAAAAAAGAGAAGTGAGAAAGGATAACCAACCATTTGAGTCCTTTTGAGTACATAATCTCCTACATTTATGATTTATCCCTCCTCTGTTCCATATTTGTTCTACGGTAGAAATCTGAAACCGTGGTCGAATAGAAATTTGCATGGCTTAGAAGAAAAAAATTGCATAAACAATATTAGATGATTATTCTATGAAAAATTGAGTGTGGACATCGCTCATAGAAGATATTTCCAGGTCTGTCAAATTTTTCCAGCATGATAGAAATTCTGTAGATGAAAATTTGTTCTTTTAAAGAAGCGCTTTGGAGATAGAAATATAGATGAGATGCTACTCACCAAGTAAATGTGGAAACCAAAAGATTTAGCACTTGTTGTTTCATGTGAAGAAATTTCTTTTTGAACAAGTGCCTACATGAAATTTCTACCATTGAATGATAATAACTTGTCGTTCATTGCTTTGCCCGGGAGTATTTCCTCTGTTGATCAGTCCCAGAAATAAACAGAATATTAAAGAAATGACATAGGGATCAGTAAGAAAGCATAGCCAACTGTTGAAGGTTGATACTTGGCTGGAAATGCAGCAGTTCAACTGATGTTCAAACATGTTTTTGGCGGTAAAACTGAAAGGCAATCTGCCAGGGGTCCATTTGTAATACTGCAAAGTTTTACTCATTTTGTGGGATGTGTATCCCAGATTATGTGGGATGTGTTACATAGTTGTTGGCTAGTTGGTATTAAGTCAGTAGCTTCAGATTAAATCAAGCTTTTTATATGTCTGCATGTTTGGTGTAATAGTGTAAAATCTGCTTTATTGGTTGAAGTGTAAACTCATTTTTAACTTAAGAAAATTCAGGCACTTTTCTTCAATCGGATTATGCTCTCATTCTTTTCTTAGTTATCTCCAGCACATAAACACTAACACCAACCATTAACTGAGTTCCTTCGACTACTCTCCTCACGCCATTCTTCCCGTCTTGCTTACCGCGTAATGCTGCACAGAGACAATTTTCCAGGCCTGTCAACTTTTTCCACCGTGGTTCAGAGTTCTGCAGAGGGAAAATTGAGGCATGGTTTCAGTAAGTTCAGAGAGAAAAAATGTCTTAACATAGGTAACTTGCCTCACGACTGAATAAGAGAAACCTCAAGTGAGTCCTCACAACCCACCATTTGCGTTCTTTTGAAACTTTAATGGTATATGAATAAAAGAAAACATTAAATTTTTCACTTGATGATAAAAGAAAACAAATTGTGTATATGAATGAATCATAAACTTCTCAAAGACATTATCTACAGAATCAATCAAAATAAAACAGACATCTTAGCAATTATTGGAAATTATTTTAAAAAGAAAGTGCTTTTCAAAGACGAAATAACATCTGACCGTCATCAGGTTGTCTTCAACAATCTTCTCCTCCTCATAAAAGACTGGTGATGATGGACGGCCACGATTATACAGAAGAGTGAGTATATGGGAGATGTTCCAACAGATGGAGGGGCATTGCCGGTTAATTCAACAAGTATTTTCTTCAAAAGATTCAAAAAAAAAAAAGCTGAAGTGATTAAATATTCAATCAGAAATTGGATGGAACAAATAGATTGACTTAAAGAAAAAGAAAAAATTACCTCTCATTTTCCCCTTCAACCGTAGTGTAGCAGAGGGCAACGAGAGATATCTTTTTTCAGTGTCGTATTCTGATCAAGGTGGTTTGGTAGTGCCTTCAGTTTGGAGCAGTTATAAATTGACAAGGAAACCAGAGATGGCATGATTGTAATATCATCTTCTTCTCTATTTCTTGTAGTCTCATAATCCCACTCCTCCCATTCATCCATATACTGAAAAGTGAGAGTTTTCAATTTGGGGAAGAAAATAAAAGAAGATGATGTGCCATCACTTTCAATTCCCAAAAATTCATTACTCACTCTTTTCACACTCTTCATCGCCCATATTGAAAACGATTCAAGGGATGGCAATTTTCCCAAGGAAGACAAATGCTTACAGTTTATGCAGTTACGGAGTGTTAAGTGACTGAGGTTGGTTAAGGACATCATCCAGTTGGGCATAATAGTGTTGCCTCTGTATTTATCTAGCCGTAATTTCTCCAAATTTAAAGATGGTTGTAGGATTTCAAGAAGTGCTTCATCATCTTCATTTGTCCTCTCTCGTTCATCTTTTCTAAAATCTAAAGTCAAATGAAGGAGATTTTTCTGGTTCTTAATTTTTGATCTTTTAACCTTGTTCACATCTGATATATTTCCCAGTCCTCTTATATACAACTCTTCAAAGAGGTTAAGGTATTTCAAACCTTCAAGGCTACATGTTTTATTATCACTACCACCACCACCACTTAACACGAATTCCCTTAAGATTCGGAGATTACTCAATCTTTGAATTCCTATTGGGATTTTTCTTAATGACGTGGTCCCATAATTCTCAAGATGCCTTAGTTCTATTAATTTTCCAATCCCTTGAGGTAATTCTTCCAATTCTCTACATTGATTAATATCTAAAGTTTGCAAATTATATAATCCACATAATGCTTCAGGAAGTTTTCTCATGTGTGAAAAACACAAATTAAGATACCTCAAATGTATCAATTTTCCAACCTCTTTAGGAATGTACTCAATCACATCTACATGCCGCCACGATGGAGCTATGGTTAACGCCTTTAAAGATGTCAATTCATCAAATAATTTTGGTAAGATATTAGGAGTCAATTTAACCTAGGAATCATCAAAATTATATAAGAAACCAGAGCCGGCTTAAGGGGTAGGCAGGTGCCTTAAGCCGGCCACCTGCCTAGGCCCCCAAAAAAATGGGGGCCCAAATTTTTTATAAATTTTTTTTTTTTTTTTTTTTTGAATATCTTACAAAAATGAAAATGGTTTATAATTTCTTATCTAAGCCAAAGCCCCCCCCCCCAAAAAAAAGCTCAAATTTATTATAAACTTTTTACATATATTCCCACCCAAAGTTTAACAAAATAGTAAGTTTGTACCTCTAGTTTTATATATTCTAGTTTATACCCCTAAATTAACATATTGAATCTCTTTTAACAATGGAAGACTAAAATAATCATTTACAAATCTCAAATTACTCACCCCCAATTCAATCCCAAAATTTGACATTCACATAAATCATCTTCAACCCTCTTTTGCCACCAATGGTTTGGAGTTGATTTCGGTCAATTTTGGTTCCGGTCAATTTTCTCACCAAAATCGATCGAAATCATCATTTTATCATTTCCCAACCTTGATAGCCCTCGATTTGACTAATTTTTTATGAATCTCACAACCCAACTCCACCACACGACAGCCATTTGTAGCCTTTTTGGCATGTACCCGACATTGTTGGCCTTCGTCGACACCACCATCTTCCTCCCCTCAGCCTCTCACCAAAACCCCTATCATATGTTATCCGTTTACTCTGCCAATCGCCGGCCATCGATACCTTTTGGGTCGTGACTTCTCAAGCCTTTTCTTATCAATTTTGGCATTAGAAATCACCCATTTCACCACCCATCACTTCTCCAACATCTACTCTCCAAAACCCCCCACCAATCTAAACTTGTTAGCCTGCCGATTGTTGTCTATCTCTCCTAGTGATTTTTCATCTCAAAAGGCCAAAAAAAAAAAAAATGAAATAATTTTTTTAATATATGCTTATATTATTAGAGGGCCCCAAAGTAACTCCTGCCTAGGGTCACAAATGTTCTTGAGACGGCCCTGTAAGAAACTGCGTATCCTTCTAAGACTAAAAATGGAATTAGGAAATGAATCCTCTTCATTAATTGTAACCATCAAGTGACAAACTTGCTCATCATAAGAAGAGTTTATGATTGGTTCGTTAAGACCATTAACTTCTTTGTGGAGACAGTCATTCTTACTCAACAATTGAGCAAAGTTATGTACTAAATCATGCATCTTACATTTTAAGATATTATTCCGATCATCTTTTTTTAAATCCTGGAAGAATGAGCGTGATGCTAAGTAGTCAAAATATTCTTGACCAACTATCTCCATTACTTTATTTCCTTCTCCTTTAAGATAACCTTGAGCCATCCATAATTTAATCAAATAATTTTTTCTTATGTTATAGTCCTTTGGAAAGATTGCACAATATATTAAACATATTTTAATCATAGAATGCAAATCATTATAACTCAATAATAATGGCCGAAAAATTTCTTTTTCAAATTCTTCTAGTTTCCATAATTCACTATCTAATATACTTTGCCACTCTTCCCTATGTTTCTTAAAATGCAAGAGACTCCCGATAGTCTTTACAGCAAGAGGCAAACCCTTGCACTTCCTTAAAATTAGCCTACCAATCTCTTCAAATTTTTTACACTCCTCTTGAGACATACCAAAAAATGCTAATTGTCTAAACAACAACCAACAATCTTCTTCAAGCAACTCCTTAACATTGATAATATCAATTGATCCCATCATACGTGCAACCAATTCCTTACGTGTGGTAATCAAAATTTTACTTCCATGAAGACCATTCTTCAAGCAATGATACAACGGTTCCCATTTTTTGTAATCCTCGTTCCACACATCATCTAAGACCAAAAGATATTTCTTTCTCACAATAGATTTACTAATATGTTGAAGAAGTGATTCGTATTCAACTACATTCGAAGCAAAACTTTCTAAAGCCTCAATAATTGCTCTAGCAATCCTATACTCATCAAAAGGCTCAGATACACATACCCATATTTTTTTCTCAAAATTGTTTATCACCTCATTGTCTTTATATGAAAATTGAGCAAGAGTGGTTTTACCAATTCCTCCCATCTCTATAATAGGGATGACAGGAAGGTGTTCTTCACTACTATCACATAACTTACGTACTAAACTATTCTTATCGTCAACTCGACCACATAACTCAGACACATCAACAAATGAGGTGCTTTGTAGTCGTTCTGACTTTTCAACGCTTCTAATCGTGTTAAAAGCATACTTATCTTTTTGTTTCGCAATGTCATCTAGATTTTCAGTTACATCTTTTATCTTCATTGCAATGTCATGATGTAAACTAACTTGTTTGAAAGAAAAGCAAGAGGAGGGAAAGGAGAAACACACCTTCTTAGGAACAGCATCATCTTCAGGTCTCTCAATTTGCAGTTTCAACATGGCATAGTTCCACTCATCCAACACATCTTCAATGTCGTAGGATGCGTGTTTGAGCTGATCTAACCAAAGACTTATAGTTTTCTTCTTCATTTGTCTTTCCTCTACATCAACGAGCACAGCTTCAATAGCTTCAAGATTGCTCCTAAGCTTTTTGACTTCTTTGTCGACACCAACAACTAGCTTCACTTCTTGTTGTATTTCTTGAGCAATGATTGAACCCAGATGCCTCAAGACAGCGGAAACAATTGCTTCAGCCATGATCAGAGATGGTAACTGTTTGAATGAGAAAAGAACTGGAGAAAATTATGAGTTATTCGAGAGGTGCTTGTAGCTGTGGAAATGAAAATGATGATCCTTCGAATTCTTTAAGACACAGACTTTTCAGAGTGAGAAAACTAGAGGAAGGAGTCCCCACCCACGTTGGATAGATAGCTGTAATTCAAAGATGATGCGGACAGAATATGCATGGCCCCAGCTCTGTGATATTCTGTCACCCACCAAACAGTAAAAGAATGGATTGCCCATCAACTCCGGTGCCTAGAAACTTCATTTTAGGAGAACCATACGCATAGGTCAAAAAGCTGAAGCCATCTCAACTTTTCCATATAATTTCAGTCTTGAAAACTGCGTTTTTACATTCACATTCCCTTTGTCATATATGGAGCGACCCATCTAATCTTTGATTGGTTACTTTCTTGACTTTACGAACCCCTAGGGCTACGCACACTGTTTTGTAATGAAATCTCTAATTATAAGCGTCGGATCAAAGATGTAATGATGGTGATTAGTTAACGAGACTGAGAGATTGAAATAGACGTGAGAGTAAGTTGATAAACGTGTTGGGTGGGCGGATAATAAAAGAGGGGGGGTAAAAGCATCAATGGAGAAAATTAAGGAAAGATGCTAACCGGACCAAGCCCACGTTTCAGTAAAGAAAAATGCTATATCCACCGAAAAATTGCACCGAAACACGTGAAGGCCTCCAAGTTGGACGATTGAATACTGACATAATGGACGGCCGTCCAACGATTTCGAATGACCGTCCATACATCTTGGATGATCGTTCATAGTGGAATGGACAACCGTCCATAAAAAATTGTTTTGTTTAAAAAAAAAAAAAAAAAAAAAAAAAACAACAATGGACGCCCGTCCAAATTTTATGGACGGGTGTCTAGTTAATATGGACATCCGTCCCTTACGTTTGGACGGGCATCCATTACATTTGGATGAACGTCCATTAGGAATGGACGCCCGTCCCTTACATTTGGATGGGCGTCCATTAGGGAATGGACGCCCGTCCATACTTTAAAAAAAATAAAAAAAATAAAAAAAAAAACCATTCTAAACACCTCTTCTCTTCCTCGCTTTCTCAGACTCCAGTTGCTGCTCCATGCCCAACTGCTTAGTTAATCTGATAAAACTGTGGAAAAATTATACCGTCAGATAGGGCCATTTGTTGTGGACACTCCACCAATCAAACAAGAATTGCCTGGCTTCTTTCGGTAGTTTTCCCTTTTTCTTCTTCTTAGAAAACTCATGCTTCAAGGTGCTAATATAACCACCATATTTATGAAAGAGTTTGTCATTAAGCTCACGGTCCACGGGTGGAGTAAGGGAACATTCAGGAGCCTCACTCTCACCCCCACTATAATCTTCATCAAATGATCCAACACCTTCATCTACCAACAAGATAGATATTAATAAATAAGAAAATGCCAAACATCCTAAACATATTCATTTACTTCTGCATTGTCCACGTTAAAGAATCATGCATGAAAGATGCTTATTTTTCCACTCAAATACTTATCCATGTAGTTTTCCCAAACCTACTAATCCGCAAAAACAGTTCTGGAAAAAACAAACATTTAAAAAATTCAATTGAAAGCTTCAGCCTGCAAGTGCTTCATATATTGCCCAGAAAATGAAGCACAAAGCCCAGAAAATGAAGCCAAGGAAAACGGAAATGCTTCAAGAGTTCATACTTTTCCATATCAAAATCTCTGACACCACAGTCATTACTTGAGGTAGTGAAATGGACTGCACCACTGGCAATGAAGACGAAGAAAAAGAGAGAGATAGGTATGTGAAAACAAAACAATTAGATGGACGGGCGTCCATTACATACGGACGGCCGTCCTTACACAATGGACAGGCGTCCATTAATTGTGGACGGGCATCCATTCCAGATTTTTTTTAAATTTTTAAATTTTTTATTTCATTTACCAATGGACGGGCGTCCTTTAAATATGGACGGGAGTCCATGTTAGTGAACGGCCGTTCATTAGAAAAAATTTAATAAGGTAAAATGAGTTGATTGGTCTGAGTCAATATACACGTAAGCCGGTACAAAATTTTAGTGTAAAAACGTCGGTGTCTGTAGCATTGTTGTTCAGTAAAAGGTGAGTAAGGTGACGTGGGTAGAGCTGATAGTTTTTCATATGCTATGACAGGTTGACACGTGTCCAATCAACTAAACTGGGTTGAGAAGCATTAAATTTTAAAAAGGGAACCATCTAATCTCCTGATTGGTTACTTTCTTGACTTTGAGAACACATGGGGCCGGTTGACTTGTGGAACTACACGCCTCACAAAGAGCAGAAAGCAAAAGGAGTTTTTTTTTTTTTTTTTATTGGTGGCGGGGGTCACATGTGGGAAGGGGAGATGAACCTTCATCGTGACGTGTAGAGTTAGAGATAAATGGTAAAGGCCAGTTATATTTGTTTTCCTATTCTCAAAATCATATTTTATAATATTCAATTATTTTAAACTCCCATAGGTTTATTAATTTAATTAAACATTGCTAACAAAAATTTTTATAAAGTGACAAAAACACCCCCACCCATCCACATTTGTTAGATTCTGACAACCACCATTGGAAGGTGGTCGGAATCTGACATAACGACGTATTATCGATTGGATCTGGTAGGTAGTACGTCGATCTGACCTTTTCTGGCCAAATCCATGGCTAAAGATCTAGCCATTGAAGGCCAGATCTTTAGCCACATGTGGCCATCAACGACAGCTAATATATGGCCGTCATTGATCGTCAATGATGACCATATCTGTGGCCTTCGGTGACAGCCAGATGTGCCTAGATCTGGCCTTTTCCAATCAAATTTGTGGTGGATCTGGCTGAAAAAAGCCATAGTGGCACACGATCGGCCAAATCTGGCCAATCGTGCTCAATGACACCAGATTCTTACAATGGTGGCAGGAATCTAGCAAATATGGGTTGGTGGAGGTGTTTTTGTCAATTTACAAACTTTTTATTATTAGGGGTGTTTAGCTAAATTAACAAACCTAGAAGTTTTTTTTTTGTTCATTTTTAAATTCTACCTCGTAATAATAACCAAACCTAATGTCATTTTGCCGGCTCTTGTCATTTTGTGGGCTTTTGTGTAGCAGCGTAATTAATCTTTTCCACAATGTCCATTATTACCATAAGACTAGAGTAAAGCTTTTAAGTTCTAACATATTAATTTCTTTAAAGTTTCCAAGTTAAAATTTAATTTAACATATTAATCTTCTAATGAGGACACCCTTACTCACTCTTAATTAATTTCTTGGATGTGGGGATGCCTCTTTAGCTGCTGCAGGGCCTCCTCACATGTGGGGGTCCATTCAAATTTCTTGGATTTCTTGAGCATGGTGAAGAAAATGTGGCACTTATCAGCAGATCTGGAGATGAATCGGCTCAAGGCAGCTACTCGCCCCGCAAGGCGCTAGATGTCCTTGATGCAAGTTCGTGATGGTATGTTGAGGATCGTCTGGATCTGGTCAGGGTTGGCTTTTATCCCATGCTGAGTCACCATGTATCCTAAGAATTTTCCTAATGAGACCCTAAACGAACACTTGGTTGGGTTCAGCTTCATATTGTATTTCCTTAGGACGGCGAATGCTTGGTTGAGGTGGTCAAGGTGTTGTTCGGCTATAAGGGACTTGACGAGCATGTCATCATTTATACTTCCATGGTGTCTCCGAGGTGTTCGGCAAACATTCTGTTGACCAGCCGTTGATAAGTGGCCCCAATGTTCTTAAAACCAGAAGGCATTACTTTGTAGTAGTAGGTTCCCCTCTTTATGATGAAATTTGTTTTCTCCTAGTCATTCGGGTGCATCAAAAGCTAGTTGTACCCTAAAAAGACATCCATAAAACTTAGGAGTTCATGACCTGTTGTCGTATCGACCATCATGTCGATATGTGGGAGTAGGAAGGAGTCCTTGGGGCATACTTTGTTCAACTTTGTGAAGTCTATGCAGACTCTCCACTTTTTATTCTTTTTCTTCACAACCACAATGTTTGTCAGCCAGTCGGTGTAGTGTACTTCTCTAATCAGTCTATTACTCAATAGTTTGTCAACCTGTTCATTGATGACTAGTTGCGTTCTGGTGCGAACTTCCTCCACCTTTGCTTCACTGGAGGGTCATCCAGATCTACATAAAGGTGGTGGACGATTGCCTCGATGCTGACTCCTGTCATGTCTGTGTGGGACCAGGCGAAGCAGTTTTAATTTTGTTTAAGGAAGTCTATAAGTCGTTCTCTCATCTTGGGTCTGAGGCGAGAGCTTATCTGGGTCTTCTGATTGGTATAGTCCGAATGTATCTGCACTTCATCTAACTATTCCATAGATGGTTTATCTGGCACAGTCAGAGGGGTTGGGTAGGACTATAATTGCTATGACGTATAACCTTTGCCTTTGAAGGCATTTTTGTAGTAGTCTATGGACGCCTTAGGATCGCTCTTGATTTCTCTTACTCCCTATTTTGTTGGAAACCTGATAGTTTGATGGAAGGTGGATGGGACAGCTCGCATATTATGGATCCAGGGTCGACCCAAAATGACGTTGTACGATGAGGGGAAACCAAGCACTAGGAAGATGGTTTGCTTGTTAACTCCACTGGCATAGACGGACAAGGCGATTTCACCAATGGTGTACTTTTACTCAGAATTAAACCTGACCAGGATGGTCAGTCATCTACTGATGTTTGATTCATCCAGTCTCATGGCCTTCACTGCTTCGAGGAAAAGGGTGTTTGTCGAGGATCCCCCATCTACAAATACTCTCTTGACCAGGATGTTGGTGATCTGGAGGAAGATGACCAGAGCATCGTGATGAGGGGTGGCAAGGGTGATTGGCTCGTCATCTTCAAACTGAATGATCTAGTTGGTATACACCCGAGGGGATGGATGAATGGACTGAACTTCTAGGTGATGTTTGGCTCGGGTGTAGCGCTTGGTTGAGGAATAACTCACCCCACTGATTTTCAAGCCTCCAGAGATGATGGAGTAGAACCCCTTTGATGATGGTTCCTGTGGAGGGGGAGATGTTTCCTTTGAGCTTCTCTGGCTGACTGTATTATTCCATTTATCTGTCAATAGGTCTCGGAGATGTCCCCTTTTCAGTAGTGCTGTAACTTCCAATCTTAAGGCGATCCAATCAGCGATGTTATGACCATGGTCGCTATGGAATTCGCACCACTTGGTCGTGTCGCTCTCCGTGTCAGGATTGAGCTTGGTTGGCCACTTCATGGTAGGTCCCATTCCTTTCATGATTGCCATAACCTGGGCTGGTTCGATGTTGAGGTTGTACTATAGAGCCTTGAATTGGTTTGATCCGGATGGTTTATTTTCTGCTCTAGTCGGCTAGCGATCGTATGGTTTTTTTATTCTACTCGGATTGCGGGGAGGGGGTTGATAAGTGGGCTTAAATGATCTCGACTCTGGATTTCTTTCATTCCGCCTTTGGTGACGGTCATCATATCTGGCATGCCTCATCTGGTTCACCTCGTCTTCCTCCCACCTAATTTGGATCACAACTCTAGCTAGGGCATCTTCCATTGTGGTGCAGCTGAGCTTTGTCAGGTCTTTGTATAGTTCTCCATCTGAGAGGAGACCATTTCTAAAAGCATTTACCGCTGTCTCTAGATTGCAGGATAGGATGGAGATTTTTTCTTTATTGAATCTGCTGACGTACTCTCTCAACGGCTCCCTCCTCTTCTAGTAGACTCTATATAAGGCTAACAGCTTCTCGAGTTTCTTACTGTTGGCGAATTGTTCAACAAAGGTGTCGTGTGAGTTGGGCGAATGAGCTAATTGAGTTGTTTGGAAGGTTAGTGTACCATTGAAGCTTTCCCCTGCTAAGGATCGACTAGCTCGTGGATGCCACCTCGGGGCACGAGCTGCTAAGTTTTATGACGCATACTCGGGACTGATGTACGCATCAGACGAAGAGCATATATCCTTTGTTATAGATCGGGGACTGTACTGCTATAGGGTTATGCCCTTTGGCCTCAAGAACGCTGGCGTAACTTACCAACGACTGGTTAACCGAATGTTCTCCGAATAGATCGGAAGAATGATGGAGGTCTATGTAGATGACATGCTTGTCAAGTCGCATGTCTCTTCAGATCACATAGCACATCTCGCTGAGATGTTCGACATCCTCCGAGAGTACCTAATGAAGTTGAACCCCCTCAAATGTTCATTCGGAGTATCCACGGGAAAATTCCTAGGGTACATGGTTAACCAACGGGGAATTGAGATCTACCCTGAGCAAATCCAAGCTCTCCTCGATATGAAAAGTCCAACCAACAAAAAACAGGTCATAAGCCTAAACGGGCGAATAGCGGCGCAAAGTTGCTTCATATCAAGGCTAACAGGTTGCTGCTTACCATTCTTCAATATACTCAGGGCCAATAAGAAGTTCGAATGGACTCCAAAGTGCGAGCAAGCATTCCAGAGTATTAAGGAACACCTCGAGAAGCCACCACTTCTGTCCAAACCTCATCCCGTAGGAGATCCTCCTGTTGTACTTGTCCATCTCTCAGTTCGCGGTCAGTGCAACCTTAGTTCAGGAGGAGTACAAAACTTAATGGCCAGTATATTACGCGAGCAAGCATCTGTTGGATGCCGAGATACAGTATTCAAAAATGGAGCGGTTAGCCTATGCCTTGCTGATTGCTTCTCGAAAGTTACGACCTTACTTCCATGCCCATACTGTCCATGTTATGACCAACTACCCGCTCAAGCAGGTCCTCCAAAAACCGAAGGCATCGGGTAAATTGTTCAAATGGGCCACAGAATTAAGCCAGTTCGATCTCCATTACAGACCGAAGGTAACTATCAAAGGGTAGGCTATTGCCGACTTTATATCAGAGTTCTCGCATCATCTGACGAGCTAGTCAGAACATCAGCCCAACGAAGTCATCCAAGAAACTATCCAAAATCTATCAACCTAGAGCCTCTACGTCATTGGATCATTGAACAAAAAGAGGGCTGAGGCGGGTCTTCTCCTATTAAGTCCTGAAAGGGCTCGCATTCATGGCATTCTCCGATTTAGCTTTAAGACAACTAATAATGAGGCCGAGTATGAAGCTCTGCTCGCTAGACTACGGTTGGCCAGGGAAATGGGTGCAACCATGGTCAGTATCCGCAGTGACTCCATGCTGGTCGTTAACCAGATTTTGGAGGAGTATCAAGCCAAGGAAGAAAATATGATCAGCTATCTGGAGAAAGCTAAGGCCGCACTCGAGCCATTCAAGCGCTTCACGATCATGCGGATCCCTAGAGATAGCAACTCTGTGGTAGATGCCTTGGCAAGAATAGCCTCATCATTAGACTCGGATGCACCGGAGAGCATTCCTGTTCGATTCATCTAGATCCCCAGTATCAGCTCGATCGAACAGGCCGTGAATGTAACAGAGTCAGATTCATGGATGGCCCCTATCATTCGGTATCTCAAAGATGGGACCTTGCCTAACAACAAGGTCGAGACAAGGACCATCCGAACAAGATATGCTCGTTATACCCTCATTGGAGAGCAGTTGTACAAGCGAGGGTTTAGCACCCCTCTCCTTCGATGTGTAAATAGCGAAGAGGCAGAATACATCCTGAGAGAGATACACGAAGGGATCTGCAGTAATCACACCGCCGCACGATCTCTTGCTAAGAAAGTTGTTCATCAAGGGTACTACTGGCCCCTAATCCAAGAAGACGCTTACAACTTTGTCAAGAAGTGTGACAAATGCCAGCGGTTCTTGAATTTACTGCGGGCACCCTCTCAACAACTGACAACTATGACCAGCCCCTGGCCGTTCTCCATGTGGGCTATCGATCTCATCGGCCCCATGCTGGTTGGTAAAGAGGGAGTAAAATATGTCGTGGTCCCAGTGGATTACTTCACCGAATGGGTCGAAGCCAAACCATTAGCCGCGATCACGACCAGAAAGCTCAAGGACTTCATCTTTAAGAACATCATATGCCGCTACGGAATTCCTCATACCCTTATATCCAACAACGGAAAACAGTTTGATAACAAGGAGTTCAAGCAGTTCTGCAATGAGCTGGGTATTCACAAAAAATTTGCCTCTGTCACAAGGCAGCAAGCGAATGGTTAAGTTGAAGCGGTCAACAAAACCATTAAGCACACTTTAAAGGCCAAACTTGGCACAGCAAAGGGAAATTGGGTCGACGACCTCCCTGAAGTTCTGTGGGCCTACAAGACAACTCCAAGAACCTCTACCTCAGAAACTCCCTTTTCACTAGCATATGGCTGCGAAGCGATGATCCTTGTGAAGGTAGGGACCAGTTCACTCCGGAGGGACCTTCACAATGAAGCAAACAACGAAGCGCTTATGTGCACAAATCTGGACCTAGTTGAAGAACATCGTAGCAAGGCCCAGCTAAGAATAGCAGCCTATCAACAACACGCGAAGAAGTTCTTCGACTCTAAGGTCAGAAGAAGAGACTTCCAGGTCGACGACCTTGTTTTGAAGGAAATTATTCTCAGCACTAAGAAACCAAGTGTAGGAGTTCTAGGACCAAACTGGGAGGGTCCGTATCGCATTGCTGAAGTGATAAGACCGAGGACTTATCATCTCAAATGGCTGAATGGTTCCAAAGTGCCCCGAGCTTGGAATGCTGAGCATCTCCGACCATATTATCAGTAATTCCGAACTCATTTTCTTTGTAAATATTTTTTGTAATCTTTCTATGTGTAAATGGAAAATTTATCATTCATTCTTTTGCAATAATTTTCGCATGTAATTCTGTTCGCATGGGCTTGTTATGATCATGTTCGCAGATTTATTTTAATGATACAGTTATGAGAGTTATAATCAAGCGAACTCATGACAAGAGATTGTGAAGGCAAAAATATATTTCATTAATGAGTAAAGCAAGCAATATCTAAAAGGGAGAAATTATCGTACTAATAAACTCCGGGAGGCCCGACCTCACATGATGGCTGGTCGGCTGTAGGCTCTGAGGGTCGTCCCGAACTCTTTCCTAGGCCAACTCCTTGGGCATCGAGTTGTGCCACAGATAAGAGCATCTCTCGCCATTCCTCTAGCAGGTCAGACATGTCAAGATACAGATTCTTCGGCCGCAAAGTGTAGATGGACTGAATAGCCCATTTAACAGCCTTCGCCTCAACCTCCGCTCCTTGGGTCTGCATCTCTTCGGTCAGGGAAGTAACTTTTCCCTAACTGACTTGGAGCTCGTCCTCGAGAGCTTGCCTTTGCTTCTCAAAGGCCTCCCTATCTTGTTCCGCTCGTAAGGCCCGCTCATAGGTCGCTGTTAGCTCTTGATCCTTCAATCCGACCTCCCCGAACCTTGCTACAGTTCTCTTAAGCTCCTTCACCTCCTTCCCATGCCTCTCGAGATCGGCTTTCTGGAAGTCCACGGTGCAAAGAGTTGTGTTCCTTTCACCTCGGAGCTGGTTTGCTTCCACCGAGGATCATTCTCTTTTTGCTGCAGCAGCTTTGAGGTCCCACTTGAGCTTAGCGTTCTCCTCCTTTAGCGCGACCTCCCCCGCAGCAGCTCCCAGCCGAACCTCCTGCATGGATAATTGCATGGAGAGTAGGGCCTGCGAAAAAAAAGAACAAAGTTAACATCGAAATTGGTAAGATAGCGGTAATGAAGCTCGCTAAGGAAAGCTCGTTTACCTTGCTTAAGTGTTGGATTGATGTGGCCATCAGGTCCACATCGTTGGAGTTCATGAACTCCTCGAACACTTCGGCAAGTCCGCACTCTAGCAAGGTGAAGACTATCAGCTGCAGGTGCTCCGGCAGGTTTCCCATTGAATCCAGCACCAGAATATCCTTGCCGGTGCCTCCAACAGAGGTCGTGTCACCTGTCGGTTCCTTACCCAACCTTTGCCTAGCATCCGATTACAACCTCCCAGGCTGGTCACCCTCGGATTCAGATTCTGACTCTTCGATCTGGATTTTCTTTCTCTTTTTCTTTGGTTGCTGAGTCGTTGTCTTCAACCTCGGGCGAGCAACCGAAGGCCGAGAAGCGCCTGCTGAAGGTTGAGAGGCCTCAGCAGGTCAGACCAAAGAACTCGCTAAAGGCTGGGAAGCCCCAATAGGTCTCGCTATAGCACCCAACATTCCTCCTTTAGCCGGCGGACCACGGGGAGCAGCTTCAGTCGTGGTCGTCCTCATCTAAGGAAAGAAGAACTGCTTTAGTCGTAACAACCCTAGCACCTTCGGAGGCATGGTCGTTGCACATGAACATCGTTAATGAACAGTTCATTTGCACGTAATAAACTTAAAGTTAGGACTTACGAGATAGGGACTCTAATGTCGCGTTGAAGTTGAAGAAATCGTATTTGCGAAGATTCGCAGTTGTTACAAGCTTCTTCGCATCGCGACTCTCTTCGGGCAGGACACTAAAGGACACGATCCTGTTCGGGTTGCAGAGTAGCCCTAAATCGATCGTCTTATTAACTGCCAGAAATAAACAAGTCATTAGTAACGAATAGAAAATAAGTAATCGAAGTCCATGAATTCAAGGGAAAAGAACCTACTTGGATCCTAAAAGAGGCAGTGGCCGTCATAACGAAAGAAGAAAAACTTTGTTTTGTAAGCCCCTGCGTTGCTAGGGTAACTGTGTATCCCCGCTGCTATTATGGGTCGCCTAGACAAGTAATAGGAATCCTTGTCCTTGCTTTTCTTTAAGATATACGAGCAGGCAAGCTCGTACGTAGTTAGCTCGCCCAACTCATTCTCACGACACACGATGTACATGGTAATAGCGATCATGTAGGCGTTCGGGGTGAGTTGCATCGGTGCGATCCCGAAATGATCCAAGACTGACCTGATGAAAGGGTGGAAAGGGATCAATCCCCCACCCTTGAAAATTTCCTCAGAGATCGCGGCCAGCCCACTTAGCAGATTCTGAACTGTACGTGTCTCATCACGGAAAACCTCCATACCGATACCATATTGTTTTACCACCCGCTCGAGCTCATCCTCAGTAAGCACCGAGTAGATCTCATGAGTGGGGCTCACAGGAACATCCTGGGTAGACGGACCGACCCCTTCCTCGGATCTGGTCGTTGGGTCTATTTTACTGCAGTCTGCAAAAGCGACAAGTAGGGGGGTCATTTAGCCGCCATATGTTATTTCGCACGATGACGTGGAAGGAACTCCCTAAATCCCAGAAAAACCCTAACAAAGTGTTTCGAGTAGCCATACACGGCTCGAACCCAACAAGAACGTCTCGTCCCGATAACTAGCGAAAGACTAACGCTGTTCAACTACAGAACAAAAAATAAAACAGAACTATTCTCACCTCTTGGAGTACGAAAATGGCTTCTTTTGCTTCAAACGTTAGGAATGCGCTAGTTTGGAAGGCTAAAAAGCTAAGTTTACGAAAATCTCTTGTTCTCTCTAAAACAGACATGCAATAACACTGCCTGAGAAAAATCTGAGTTTGGCGCTTGGTTTTCCCTAAATCAAAATGATGTTAGGCCAGAAAGGTGCCTCACCGCTGATCACGACCACGTGTCGCGAATCAAGCGAGGGAGGCTGACCTTCACGATTCGAGAAAACCCAACCATTGTCTTTTTCCCGCTAAAAAACTCAAACAACGATACTCTCTCACTCCGCATTTAATGCACCCCAATCTGCATTCAATGTTCAGATAAGAGATGTCATTTCAACATGTCACGCATTTAATGTGCCTCAGTCTACACTCAATGCTCTAGTAAGGGGTGTCGCTTCAGCCTGCCACGCATTTAATGCGCCTGGCTGATGCTTACTGCACGTAGAGCACGTCTGACAGAGCGGGAGCTGTTTCATTAAATGCACCCATATTGAAAGTACAATAGGAAATGTTTGAAGAGGCCAGGTCACTCACCCTTAAAAGGCGGTGACCATTCGAGGTCACGATCACCAGAGTGCTACCTCGACCTCTTTTGACCATTCGAGGTCGCGATCACCAGAGCGCAACCTCGACCTCTCTTCAATCAGGTCGAGGTCACCAGAACTTCAAAGGCGTCCAACCACGGCATGAATTATAGTTTTCAAGATTCGATCCTCAAACCTTAAAAACGAGGGGACTTCTGTTATGCCTTGAGAAAGCAGGGCTGACGTAGGCCAAGTCAGCATGCAAAAGTTAGAACCTGGGAGACCCACAGCCGAGTCACATGATGAAGGAGTAGCCTGCTTTTGTCAGAGTAATGGGCGCGCTCCAGACCAACCAAGAGCTGAAGAGCTTCCACCTGTCCAATTGCATGCACCAAATTGCGCGAATCGTTTTAGAAAACGGGCAATAGGACATAAAGGAAGATTTGTACAGATAATTCCACCAACTCACAGATTCAGCAATCATCACTTCAATCCATCCCACTATAAATTGAGAGTTCCTCTCTCAATTTCAGGATTGGCGAATCTCTCAAAGAAATAATATACATTGTATCTCTTTCTCTCTCTCTCTCTCTCTCTCTCTCTCTCTCTCTCTCTCTCTCTCTTGTAAAATCACCTATAAAATCAGCTCGCTGACTGCGGCCAGGTCACCATCATTAATACATATCAGTGGACGTAGGATTTGCTTCCTTAAAGCATCCGAACCACTTTAAACACTATCTTGTCATTCTCTTTTTATCATTCACGTGTGTCTCCTAGGCCAACTCAGCATTTCACACGTGCGTTTAGTTGGTGTCAATATCACACGTCAACACTTACAATCAATTATTTTTGTACGGCTCTTTACATAGAAAGTCTACATGTCAATTTTAGTTAGAAGGCCAAAAGCAAAGTCGCTTATTAAATTTTGTACCAGTGTCGGCTTGTCGCCATTATTTGGCCTCCACATATNAAGAAGGGCATTTTCGTCTTTTTAGGTGAAAGGGTATTTTGGTAATTTCACAGTGCAATTAAATTTGCTGAGGTCGTAGCCTTTATTTAATTTGTTAGAAAAATTAAACAAGTGAAATTACATTTAAATATGTGTTCGCACATATTTAAATATAATATCATTATTGTTAAATATTAATATATATTAAATATATATTAATTGATTTTAATTGAGATAATGATAGAAAATAAAATATCAAATTGGGAGTGTTTGGTAACATGGGGTGTTTGGGTTGGAGCCCAAGCCTATTCCAGATGGGAATAGGACAACTTGATTTACTATAAAAAGAAAAGTGTGTGTTAATTGGAAAGAATTGATTTCTCTTTAAAATAAAAACACACAGCGGCCCCTCTCATTCTCTCCCATGGCAGAAACACTTTTTGCCTAAAATCAATTCAATTTGATTTCCTTTCTTCATAATCTTAAAACCAAAGAGGATCTAGCAAATCCCTCTTTGGTTCTTTTGTGATTGTCTTCGTGTGGACTACGTGGGTTCGATCCTATACTTGGGTTGGTAGCAAAACGTTCAAAGACAAACATGGTGGAGCCTCCAAACGTGCGTATGGTTTTAAACTTATGATTAATATTTCTGCAGATTCTTATTATGACAAAACTATAAATTATACCCTTGATCTTGGCTCATGTAAATGATCCTTATATTATATTTTTTTGTTTTCGCTGCGGATATGGGACCGTTTACTAACAGTGGTATCAGAGCCTAGGGTACTAAATTTTACAGTTTTTATGTGTATGGTTGATAACATGTATTTGATGATAATATGTTGCCATATTGAATCTGCATAAGATCTGCCTTAAAACATGTTTTAAGAAATTATTAATCGATTAATTTTTAGTTTGTTGATGATCTACATGTTTGGAATAATGGTTGATGGATTTTTGTTGAGATCAATGTTTTNAATTTTGTACGAGTGTTGGCTTGTCGCCATTATTTGGCCCCCACATATATTCTACATCTAAATTGATAATACACTACATTGTTTAAAAGTCAATTATATATATATATAGAAAGTTTATATGTAAATTTAAGCGTTAGGGCCAAAAGAAAAGTCGCTTATTAAATTTTGTACTAGTATCGCTATTATTTGGCCTCCACATATATTCTACTTCTAAGTTGGTAATAAGCTACACTGTTTAAAAGTCAATTTTTTATATAGAAAGTCTATGGCTTCGTTTGGATCACATATTAGGAAAACTTTTCTAGTTTTCCCAAAAAAATTAAGTTTGTTTCACCTATTTTCCAAAAGATAATTTTAAATTTTTTTAACTTCCTTTAAACCCCCTAAATTTGTT